GCGCCTGTGCGTCGCTATGTGAACGCTTTGACGAAAATGTGGTCACATTCGCAGTGGTAGCTCATCCGAAAGCCAATACCAAGTGTGTGGCTCTGCATGACAATTCACGGTACGGATCTGCATAGAAGCCTTTTAATGCACATGTTTGACAAACGAACTCTATCCTGGACAAACATCCGTGTGCGAACAATCAATAAATTTATGTTCCAATTTTTGCGAACTGACTTTTTTCAAGCAAACGTTATTCCTGACCAACATTTGTGCACGAGCAGTTGCGCTCTTTCCATAATGAACATGTACATGAAAATCTGCGTACGTACCTAAGCAAACGAGGTGTCTCCCTGACGAATATTTACGTACGAATAAATACAGGTGACCTATTCCATACAGAATTGTTTGCGCACAAATATTTACGATACCCGCCTGCCCCGAGAATTCCCCGGCGAGTATTTCCCGATGACCATTTCCCGCCGAACATTCTACCTTTCAAGATTCAATCCATGCAAAGTTTTGGCGTTACGAGTACTTTTTGTCCAACGCACCCAACCCTGACAAACTTTCCGCACACAAACATGACTCTATGAGCATCAACCAAAGGGGCTTTTCTATGGAGCGTTTAACCTGTAAATGTGATTTAGACAAAGTTGAGCTGCCAAACGAAAGTAAGAGGCGGTGTAAGGGAGTGATAAGGACAAGGGGCCGTTTGAGGGCGGTTTCCTATGTGCCGCCCTCCTTCGCTTTAGCCGCCCATGCTTACTGCCATGTCTGTCGTGTGATGCACTGTCTATCATCCTTCTCACAGCGCAGAGCATTGCGATCTGTACAAAGCATCGCCCATTTGAGTTATACATACATTAGGGACCCCGCGAATGTATATTTTAGACCGGGACGTGTCAAGAACTTGAATTAACTTGGCCAATACATGTTTTTCTATGAATATTCAATACTCATTTAGAATCGATTAATGATGCAAATTACGCACGTTGTTTTGAACATGCGCGCTCGCAAATCTCAGACAAAAACCTCGACTCCAGGCGGTGCAGTCTCCGTAGACCGCGCGACGTCGGTTCCGTGGCTTACACTAAGCTGTGGCCAATGGGCGGACAAAAAGATGACGCATCGGAAAAAAGTGCCTTTGAAAGTTTTAAGACCTCGAATCGTGCACTTAGAAGGTAGTCCGGGCATATATTTCACCGGTGCGATTTTTAGAATGATGTTAAGAGCGGATTGGTATTTACAGCATTGCGATGTGGTGCTGGCTGGAATCTGGTGGTGGATCTGGAAGGGTGAAGGCAGAATCTCTATTTTTCGTGTGGCTGTCACTGTTGGGCCGCCCAGAGGACAGCCTCGAAGCCGTAAACAAGGTATGTACAGCTTTTTCTTTAATATATGAACTAATTAATTACGAATTAAGAATTAATCTTGAGGGACATTCGGAAAAATTATTTCACGACGGTCGTTCTCGCGCGGAGTGCGTGGTGTTACTTGCAGTGGCCAACGCCGTTCGGTTTTAAAGAGATGCAACCCATCCATCGCTGTTCTCGCTTCCGAGACCTCGGGCGCGCAAGATCAAATCTTTTGATGTAATTTGCTTCACTAATCGAGTCTGCAAAAGGCATACGTTCTGAAGCCAATATGGGATGGTCTTGTTCGTTTTTTTAACTCATTTCGGCCCATTCTTTGCGACACTAATGAGACCCCTTATTTCTCTCCGGGCAGGGGCCTCTTGAGTAGAACACTAGGGGCGCATTATTGTTCCCGGTCAGGAGCTGAAGCGCCATTTCGTTCCACCGCGGGGCGCCTTCCTGCTGTCATTTTTGCGACATGGGGCGGCATCCCCTGGCCGATCCGGAGGCCCTTAGAGAGACATCATATTACATTGGTCCTTTCCCTACGTGGGGGGCCTTCTAAGCAGCACAGTTGGCCCCGGATCGACGCAGAAACCCTCACTGGCGCAACAACATCCCTGTTCACCGCAGGTGGTCCAATAATTGGCGCACATATTCCAGTTTAGCTTAACGGGCCCATACTGGAATTGCGTTGGAGGGCCCACCGTTCAGAACTGGTGGCCCTGACAGGCACAAGACCCTTCCATTGTCTCAACGTGAACGCTCAACATAAGTTATAATGTTCGCTTTCGTTATCAGAGGACCCCAACCAACGCGAGAGGTCCCCTGTCATTCGGAGTCCCGTTCATGTCCCTGTTGAGTAAATGAGCAACGGGGCCTGAAATAATACAGGAGCCCAACCATTGCTTTAAAAGGCCCAGACCAAAGCAAATCGCGAGCCCGACCCTGCCCCTGCTTGGGAAATGCGCCCCAAGAGCTCAGACCAACACGGCATCCGTCCCTCTTATCCTCTGTCTTGCTTTATCCTGCATCCTCGTGGCACCTCGCACACTCGGGGCAGGCTGCGTGCGTCAGCCAGGAGCGGGCCGAGAGGCCGGTGGGAAAGAAGACCTCGACCAGATATCCAGCGCGCATGCGCGGTTAAAGCTCGGTTGTTGGCCCCCCCCAGGGGCATGCTAGTCTGCTCCCCCGTTAACCATTTTCCTTCATCCCATAGCCATGAAATGATCATTTCTGGTCGAAAGGGCTCTAATCCAAGACAAAAAACAAAAACACCGATACTGAGCCGACTGTTCATTGCTGGCAACCTATGGCCGAAATAGAGAAACGCTCCGTCTCAGGGGTACTGAATCGGTACAAGAGACCCTCTAACTGACATTTCAGAGCATGGCCCTACGAACGGGGGTCCTTAATGTGACCCTCTGACCCTCAGGCAGCTCTTCGGGCGCTTCAGTCTTCCAGTCAGGCCCTTCATATTTGGTCACGATGTGCCCTTTGCCGCCCCCCCCCCCCCCCTCGGACCTCCTCAAACAAACCCGTGACAGAATTGGGGCCGCTAGCCGACACATGACTCCCTGTTAGGCACTGTGGGCTCCTGACCGACACAGGGGCATCAGTCATTGTTTCGGGGAACCAGACCAAGGCAAGTCGTGGCGCCGGCCTTGCTCTTGCTTGGGAAATGGCTCCTCAGGGTTTAGACTGACAGGGAACCAAATGTTCGGTGCTCGTGGTGTTTGGCCGACCGAGACGCTTTCATTGCCTCAGGGGTCTCAAACGGTGCAAGAGGACCTCTGACTGATATTTTAGGCCAAGGCCACACGGGCCGTGATTCTACGTTATCTACAGCCAGTTGTTCAAGATGCCGTCCAATCGAGCCCTTAATCGTCAGTTCCGTTGGGCCGCCCGGGCTCCTCTTCGGGCCTCATCGAACACTGCCCTTATTCGGCTCGGGCCGCTTGCAAACCAGAACCCTACTGTTAGGTGCTGCGGGGCCCTGACAGATACAAGGGCCCCGATCAGTTTAAATTGCTGGCCTCGGCTTTATAGCTGATTGGGACGGGGCTCTCAGGCTCATGTCGATACGCAGCTGGCTGTGCGATACTGGTGATGTCCGATCGACATGTAGGCTCATATCGACTCAGGGGGTCCCCGATCGGCGCAAATGGCTCCCTGACTGCCATTTGAAAGCCCGTGTCCGCAGACTGGAGCCCCTGAATAAGACCCAACCAGCCCTTCGTGTACTTAAGCTCCAATCGGGCCCTTGGTTGCCGGTCTCGGTGAGCCCTCCAGGTTCACCAGGTCTCCTCGAGAGTGTCTCTGGCCTACTCGGAGCCCCTTGCCAACAAAGGTCCCCTGTTAGGCGCTGCGGGGCCCTGATAGACACTGGGCACCCGTCCCATGTAAATCGCTGGCGCGTGCTTGGTCCCTGCTTGGGGAATGGGCCCTCCGGCCCATGTTGACACGGAGCTGACTGTGTGTTATTGGTGGTGTCTGACCGGCATATAGGCACTTATCGACTCATGGGACCCATGATCAGCGCGCAGGGCCCTCTGGATGGCATTGAAGTGCACGGCCCTGGGGGCCGGATCCTGAATACGACGCTCGGCTGGCCTTTCGGGCCCCTCCGGGCCCTCAAATATGGCTCTCATATTGGGCCTTTCATCGTGGGTCCTGAGGGGCCCGGAAGGCCTTTCGAAACCTAGGGAGGACGGGCTCGTTTTGCCACCCCTGCCTGCCTGCGCCACTGCTCACGACCCAGCGGCGTGTTAACGGAGTACAGCACGTGCAGGTCACGAGCGCCGAGAGGCCTGACCTGGCCGGATTTACGACAGGACAGGAAGGGCAGACCTGGAAGGCGCGGGAACAGGTCTGTGTAGTAACAGGCGGAAACAGTCAGACCTCCATGACAAGTTTGGACCAGACCGTGCTTAGCGCGGCAAGGCAGGACACTACGGACCAGGGGCGGAACCGGACTGTACTGGGAGCAGAGACGGATATAATGGTACAGGAGAGATTAAAGAACAAGAAAGGACAGGACCAGAGACAAGACAGCCGGCTCAGGACCAGCTCAGACGTGAATGGGCCAAAATAAACCGTACAGAATCGGACTGGGTCGGATCAGACTAAACTGGACCAAACCCAGACCTAGCAGACCAAAGACAAGGGCGTAAGGTCACGTCCAGACTGGACTGGAACGGACCTGACTAGATTGAAAGGAACCGGACCGAACCAGACTAGACTGGACCAGAACCAGACCGTACTGAACCGGCCCAGACATGATGGGCATGACGAGACTTGTCGCTTGGTGGGTTAAACCTGTCGACGTCGCGACTCATTGATTAGGATAATCATGTTTAATTGCTGATTTATTGGACTATATCACTGTTGGCTTCAGAATCACCTTGGTTTGGGAGCCACATCAAGATTGGACACATTGATAAAATGTCATCAGCAGTTCTGCCCCTCCTAATGTCCGGCCGGAGGCGGCCGTACCCGGCCAGTCCTGCCGTTGTAGGCCGTTGCCGACCGCTGTAGAACATTCTACGAACGACAAAATAATTTGCCTGATATGGTAGCTTTGAAATGTACTTTAATCTCCGCAGATGAGGCAGTTGAAAAATTTCCGTAGTAGTGGGGGTGATGGCGGACGCTTCTTACATCCATTTTTCATTGAGCTTTTGATCACTGGCGGAGGAGGTGCCCGCATTGCTGTCGCGGAGTGAAACTGCTGTGTTGAGGAAGGTATGCAATCTGCTAATGCTCGTACAGGAAGAGCATGTGTATGCTTTGTAAGGTGTCACGAAAATGCTAAATGAAGTGTGTAATTCAAGGTGTAATTGTGTGTGGGATTGTCCGAAAAGATGTTGCGGTGACTCGACTCTTCCATGACTGTGCAGAGCTAATGATACTCACAGGTCATACACCAATGCAATTTGATAGTAAATACGTGACAGTCTTGGTCATACATGTGTTAGGAAATTGAGGGCAGTCCAGGACAAGTAGTGCAAAACAAAGTTGGCCATTCAGTGGCGCTTAATTCTTTGCTCCTCACACACTTACCCCACCCCCTACAGTGTGTGTATGAGGGCTTGAATCAAAGCAGGCTACCTTAGTGTTGATGTCACTGCAGTTTAAGTTTACATTTATCACTGTTATGTTGTTACTTGGGTGCTGATGTCACAGCATAGCTGGCCCAAAAATTTTAAAGGTGCCCTTCTTGTAATCAACATTTTTTTGTCAAAAGCCTTTCTGGCAACTACTTTTTCCTCAGAAGAGAGAACAAAAATTGGATCTTGAGTGTTAACTTCGGAACATTCTGGGAAAAAGCTGTCTTAAATCAAGCAGCCACTGTGGCATGATAAAGATAACATATTTGCTGTATATCACACCAAGCTTCTATTGTGCATGCTGGAGGTGGTTCGTTCATAGCATTGTACCAGAGCATTAACTTAGTACATGTCCCAGAATGAATGCTACACAAAAAGTTTTGAAGCTCAAACCTATTCTTCATGCATAATGTTTAAATTTTACTAATTTTCAGTAAAGAGAAAGCTTTTATGCAGTATCACAACTTTGTTCCATAGGTTGTTGAACATGAAATGCCATGATTTTTAGTGTGTACCAATGGGTATGAATAAAATGCAAAAATGAGAACAAAAACTCTATACATAACTCATGTCAATATAAAGTAACCACTGATACAACACCAGCAAGCCATTTAATTGCCACAGAATGCCAATCAACCTGCCAGTGGTGTTCAGTGCTACACATTACAGTCCTCAATTCAACAAGATTCACTGTACTTTCATGCTCTATGATGTACAAACATGCTATAAGTAGATTTATTTAGAAGTTATCCTTTTATTTGTAATAATATCTTACTAGCAATTAAAAATACTACACTGTCATGAAGTGGGGATGGATCCATGATATGGCAGCCAATGCATTCAGTGATTAAATCAGTCAGCTATCAAATCAGTTTTCAGTCATTCATATGCAATCATCCATAAATTAAGACTGGTCACCAGACAGGGGTCCTAATAAGACCAGGACTGCCAGGCCTAGAAGCCTTCTATGATTACCAGTGATCATAAGGCAAGGTAGGGAGGCAAGGTATTTTGAGAACATAACATCAAGATTATAGAGTGCAAATTTTTAGAAGAAAACCCCCAAGATCTCAGAATCTAGAGAAGTGCCCAAAATGCTTGCCTTGAGTGGAATGCTTGTCTTCCTTTAGAAAATGGTTTCCAGTGAAGGTTGAGTTTAAGCTGGCTTACAGCAAAAGCTTGCATGGTATTCTGTTAAGCACCAGTACTCTTTTGATGTGGATGCAAAATAGTTAACAGATGTATAAATAGATATGGTACCTGGCCTGACAGTGGTGGACTATGCAAATGCTGTGAAATTTTAGCCTTTGCTTTATCACACAGAAAGCTGGTACCAATCCCAGAACCAGCCAAGCTTCTTTAGTCCTAGGTTCATACAGATGCATGCAGATTGGTGCCATCATGATGCCTGCACCCATCTTATGGAAATTTTGCAATTCTTATGAGATTATGGACATGCTGCAACATGCCACATTTCTAGCCTGTATGTGATTTGTTTGGGACCCATTTCCTTGGGTGGTAATATCACCAGATATTGGGGGATGCTGCCAGTGACTCAGCTCCCCAGCTCTGCTACCAATGAATGCAACTTACTTTTTAGAGAAGGGTTAGTTCTACACATGATGAATATTCCAGCTCCAAAGTGGTCTAAATTGGTAATGGAGCATGCTGACACCCTGTGGTCCAGCCACATACATCATCATACCACCACCTCATGCTTAGCAACCTCCACAAGCACCAAGCACTATTTTTATGCGTTCTTCATCGCATAAGTCCTGAATAAATGTCAGATATGTTGAAGTTGAGTCTGTTTCTGGGCCTTCACACCACTGCTTCCCATCATATACCACTGAATTGCACACACCATTGTGTGCCAGCCGCCGCTGGCCTCCGCTGATGCTGCGCTTGTTTCAGGTGGGAGACAGCCATGGGGAACGCGCAGAACCGCGAGCGCGGCCAGTCGGTCAGCTCTGCCTCGCCTGTCACGCGTACCGCCGTCGCCGAGTCGGCCTTCAGGTGAGGGGGCAGGGGTGGGGCCGGTCTGAAGGGTCGCTGGGGGCACCGCCGTCGCCGAGTCGGCCTTCGGGTGGGGGGGGGGGGGGGCAGGGGTGGGGCCGGTCTGAAGGGTCGCTGGGGGCACCGCCGTCGCCGAGTCGGTCTTCAAGTGGGTGCAGGGGCGAGCCAGTCATGGAGGGTCACTGGGGGCACTGCCGTCGCCGAGTCAGCCTTCAGGTGAGCTTTGTGTGACTCCGGGCGCTGGATGTTCAAGGTCACCAAAAGAACTGTACTGAGGTGGAGGTATTGTGCATGCTAGTTTGAGCAATACCATTGCTTCTTTTTTTGCTTCCTATGAAAATATAGCTCTGCCGTCTGTTACGGCTGAGCTTTGTTGGATATGAGATCAGCATTTGCATTGCTCAGTGTCTAGCTGGGGACCGCCGCAGTCCACGTGACGCATTGGCGTGGCGAGCTGGCCGTTACCGGCGCTGTAGGCTGTGTGTGCGTGCGTGTGTGTGGGTAGGGGGGGGGGGGGTGCGTGTGTGTGCGTGTGTGTTTGACCAGGTCTGTCCCTGCCTGAGGCCTGCAGCGCTGCTTCTGGCAGATCATGCCCAGCCACCCCTCTAACTCCGCCAATCGGACACGCGCCGCCGCTAACCCTCCCGTCCGCCGCCAGCTTCGACCAGCAGCAGCAGCGGCGGCGGCCGTCGCTGGCGCTGCATGACGAGGACCCGCTGATGCTGCCGCTGTCGCGGCGACGCGTCAGCGAGGGCGTCGAGGCGACGGCGCCGCCTAGTCAGCCGGCCGCGCTGCTCATGCACCAGAACTCAGCGCCGTGCGGCGTGCCCGGGCTGCCGGCCGAGCAGCCGGCCTCCGCGCCGCTGCTGCCCGTCGTCATCCAGTGGAAGAAGGGCGGCCAGGACGTGCAGCTGTGCGGCACGTTCACCGGCTGGAAGCCGATCCCGATGGCGCGCAGCGAGAGCAACATGAACTCGGAGCACATGAGCATCGTCAACCTGCCCGAGGGCCGGCACGAGTACAAGTTCCGCATCGACGGCGAGTGGGTGGTGGACGCCAGCGAGCCCACCACCGACGCGCCCGCCGGCGACAAGAACAACTACATCACCGTCAAGGGCTCCGACTTCGCCGCGTGCGAGGCGCTCAACCTGGAGACCGTGCAGACGGGCGACATGTCCGGCTCGCCGCCGGGGCGGTACGGCTGCGAGCCGCCGCCCACGCGCGCCGCGTCCTGGGACCACCGCTCGCCGGCGCAGCCGCCGGCGCTGCCTCCGCACCTGCTGCAGGTCATCCTCAACAAGGACACGCCTGTCTCCTGCGAGCCCACGCTGCTGCCGGCGCCCAATCACGTCATGCTCAACCACCTGTACGCGCTGAGCATCAAGGAAGGTGTGATGGTGCTCAGCGCCACGCACCGCTACCGCAAGAAGTACGTGACCACGCTGCTGTACAAGCCCATCTAGGGCGGGCCGGGGCAAGGCACCCCGCGCCCGCTCTGCTGGGGGAGGGAAGCGGGGCTGTCGCTGGCGGGTAGCCCGTCGGATTGGTGCGGAGTACTGTGGGAGGTGCCGCGGCGTGATCCGGAGAGGTAGGGAAGTCTGTGATGGCGGAGGTATACGCGTGCGGGCTGGACAACGTATGCTTTGCCAGAAGGCGATGGGGATATGACTTGGGAAGCAAAAGCTATCAGTATGGCAAGTAGCCACCGCTTAGGAACTAGTCACAGCATTTTTAGTCTTCAGATATGCTCGTAAGATGAACGATATTTGTTGTCGGATTGTTTGTAATTTGTTAGTCTCGTCATCGCTGCCGTGTGCAGTATCCCTTGAATATCTGGTGCGATTTTCCGTTCGATAATGTCTCTCTCCACGCCCGGTAGGCGTCTAGGCCGTAAATTCGACAAATTCTACGTGAAAGATTTAGATGTACCGTTTGGAAGCCGCGTAAATTCCCGAAAAACCTAGCTGTAGTTTTGTGCCCTTCGATGTACTGAGTTCATCGCCCTTACTTGCCTCCTGACAATCAGCCCCTTGAGCGGGTACAGGGGCGGTTGAAAGCCTCGCTATCGACTCACTGATGGTGCAATATTGCTGGCCAGTCGGCGCGTGCGTGACCTCGGCGTGGCGCGTCGCCGATGCCTTGGGTCGTTCGGTTCACGCCCGATGCTTTGCTCTCCGCTCCGGAGGCAGCACCACGCGTTCAGTTCACGCCCGATGCTTTACTCTCCGCTCCTGGGGCAGCACCACGCGTTCAGTTCACGCGCGATGCTTTACTCTCCGTTCCGGAGGCAGCACCATGCGTTCAGTTCTCGCTCAATGCTTTACTCCCCGCTCCGGGGACAGCACGACGCGTTGTTCTCGTCCGGTGCTTTACTCTCCGCTCCGGGGGCAGCACGGCGCGTTCAGTTCTCGTCCGATGCTTTACTCTCCGCTCCGGAGACAGCACGACGCGTTCAGTTCACGCGCGATGCTTTACTCTCCGCTCCGGAGGCAGCACGACGCGACGGTGCTCGTGTAGGTGTAGCCGCGCCCAGCGGCGAGGGGTCTCGCCGACGCTGGAGCTGCCGGCGCTTTGAGCCACGCCCTTTCTCTGTTCGCGCCTCGCTTGCCTGTTCTCCTCTCCGCATTCGTCATGTCCAGCACCTGTGCGTGGGCCCAGTGTCTGGTCCGTGATCGGGTTTTGTGTGGGCGTACAAACGGTTGGTCTCTCCCGCCTATACTCAATCAGCGACATCAGGGGAACTGGGCGCAGACTTGATGGCGTCGTGTTCGTGATCTTAGCCTTACGCCATGACAAGTCATTTATCTAGTTTTACGTCCGTGCGTACATGCTATGCGTATGTGAAATAAGTACTGCGAAATAAAAACGTTTTACGTATTCCGTGTTCAGCGGCGGGAATCGTTGCATCGACTGGCGCGATCCCATGGCACCCATTAAGTTCAGTTTATCTCAGTCCTGACGCCAATGCCCACTTCGTGTGAAATTTTAAGTTGGTTCGGTGTTCTGTGCGGTGCGGTACAGATGCACCTCCCCCCCCCCCCCCGGTCGCACTCAGCTCCATGGTGTGCATCACACGCGCGAATGGCCCTGAAACGGCACTGTATTCAACCGGTACGACGCGATCCGAACCACGCGGTTTGAGGACCCTAAATGACCGTTGCTTGGCATGCCTCATGTCCAGTGTGGCGCGATTCCCAACTAGACGCGGATGGCTGTTGCATGTGCGCCCCTGGCCCCAGCCAGTCAGGAGACCGCATCACTGCCAGTTACGTTTGGTGTCCAGCGCGCCACTGGAAACGGGCTGTAGCAGCTTAACCTGCAGAGTACAGTCCGCGTGGGTCAAGCGGGAAGAGAACAGACAGGTGTTCGCATCGTTGGCACACTTTCCAACCATCTGTGGTGCACGCTATTGCATGACTAGAACGACCCCTGATGCGTGCTGCGCCACGCGAAGCGCCAACAAAAACCACCGCGGAAGCAATGCAGCATATATTCCACCGTTACATGTCAGCTGTCGAATAGTACAACAGTACGGAAGCCGTGTTGGCGGTCGACCCTGCAAGATTCGGTCCGTTGACGGGACCTTTTACTCCCCGGAGCGACATCCCCGGAGCACGAGCCGACGAAGGCAGCTCGGCCCAGAGCGGCGCCACACCGCCGACCGGGCGCCGAAGCGGGGCGGATAGCCACAGGAAGATTTTTTTGATCGATGGATACGTGACACACCAAGCACAGTGGGCGCGTAGGTTTTCATACATGTTACTGCAGCGCCGGCGCTTCTGCCAAGATGCACGGTTACTTGCACTCGGCGCGACATCTACAGACCACAGACATCGACGCCTGAAAAAGTTCTCCCACTTCTGCCCTCAGCCTATTCAGCCCTTGCGATTCGCGTGGGTTTGGGCAGATGGTGGTTCACTGGTGGGGAAAGGGGCCCACCTGGCACGCGGCACACCACATTCACGTAAAAGCAATCGGTGCATTATCAGGTATATAGCGCAACTTACCCGGTAGACATCTCTTTGGCGATATTTGTTCTCAGTTCTTTCGGAAAAAGTACAGCACTCGCCGTTTTAGGACTTAACAATAGCCTCGTCGCGTGAGGTAAAACTAACTTCGTTCATGAATCTAGCAATCATGCTACGACGACACCTTAAATAAATGTTTTTGTCGCTGGCATCGGCACAGCGCGGACCTCAACCCCCCTCCCTCTCGTTTTACATTTTGAACGCAACCTGCAGCAGTCCGACAGCGACGTGTCAGTTAACCCAAGCGAAAATAAGCCCAAATACCGATCAACTATGGGTCAGCCGGTGCGTTATCCCCGCTGAAGTACTAAGATGACCCGAAACACCCTGCCACGGCCAACCAAAATATGACCACATCTCTGAAAAGCTACATATATCTTACTACCACACATCTCCATCACCGCCATCTACGGGTGCTTCTACGACCTGGGTGAACACCAGTGACCACAAACGCTACCGCACGACTGACTGGAATGTAGGCGAAACCGCGCCAGGAAGCGTGCTAGAACCGGCTACATCGGGAGTCGTGCCGGACGAACTGTTCGCAAGAGCGATATTTGATCCAAGGCATCTGGTCTCTTCACTGTTACTGAGACAGTAAAGCTCACCAGGTTGTACGATCGACATTTGATCCAAGGCATCTGGTCTCTTTACTGTTACCGAGACAGTAAAGCTCATCACGTCGCACTCCATCTAAACTAACGCTGCCTTGCGCTCAGTTCCGAGGAAGTGACAAACATTATTTGGACAGCAGTCTCATATGAAGCAGATTTCCAGACTGAATTCACTGCTGACATTACCACTTACGTGAAAGCCCTCGAAAATTTCGGGTACACAGCACACAGCGCTTCAGGTTTGAAATAGCTAACAGGTAACCGGTTCACTCGAGGAAGACATGATGGCGACGCCAATGTCAGACGAAGCTACCACAACAACGTTATGATAAATATAAGACCAGCGGCCTGAAGTGAGAACTTCTCAATACACCACACAAACACACACGACAAAGGTATTAAAAATAACATCACAAAAGGACGGAGGGGAAAAGTCAGGAGATTGCATGTCCGCTATCACATGGTCATACGACATACACAGGCACGTTTCACCTAGTCACGCACCCACAGCAAGGGGAATGTTACGTAATAAGCGGTGCGCTTTATACACCGCACATCACCGCGTTGGCAGTTATCAGAGGACCTAAAATAAACAGTGCCAACGAATTAATACAACAGATGGCGCCAGCGATGCAGCTGCGGTAGAGCTGCAGTTGCCAGCGAAATACATGGCGCGACTGCTGCCAGATAACGCAATTATTACTACAAAAATATAAGTGAGACATAGTGAATCTTAGCTGCCCCGCCGCATTCCATCAGTTCAGTGGTGTAAAAACGGTATGTTGTTCGTCCCAGTAGGCCACCGTTGTTGGTCACCCATTAGCCTGTGGCTCTGAGGCCTCGTGACACTGCGCGTGCGCGCACCGAAATGGGGGGAGGGGGAGAGGATGCCGCACTCTATGCGTGTGCGTGTGTGTGTGTGTGTGTGTGTGTGTGTGTGTGTGTGTGTGTGTGTGTGTGTGTGTGTGTGTGTGTGTGTGTGTGTGTGTGTGCGTGTGTGTGTGTGTGTGCGTGCGTGCGTGCGTGCGTGCGTGCGTGCGTGCGTGCGTGCGTGCGTGCGTGCGTGCGTGTGTGTGTGTGGTTCCTGTCGTCACGGTAACTACAGTGCCAGTAGTAGTCTCTACAGTGCGCGAGCACCAGACCCGTCTTCTGTGGTCAGCGCGACTCCCATGTCAGCTCCAACCCCCAACAGGTTGAGCAGGCGATATGGTAACCAGGTCTTAGACCGCACGGGGCTCTACTCTGACGCAGCCGCCACCCGACATCTGCGGCCTTGCACCACACTGTCAGCCTACGCCACTGGACAGCGGCGACGCGCGGCGTCCGCGGGCGGCCCTCTCATAGCGGCGGAGCACGCCGTCGGCGGGAGCCCTCTCATAGCGGCGGAGCACGCCGTCGGCGGGAGCCCTCTCATAGCGGCGGAGCACGCCGTCGGCGGGAACCCTCTCATAGCGGCGGAGCACGCCGTCGGCGGGAGCCCTCTCATAGCGGCGGAGCACGCCGTCGGCGGGAGCCCTCTCATAGCGGCGGAGCACGCCGTCGGCCGGCGGCCCCCTCACGAGGCGCCGCTGATCATGGCGTCCGCCCAGCGCCGCGTGTCGTAGGCGGGCGGCCCCCTCACGAGGCGCCGCTGATCATGACGTCCGCCCAGCGTTGCGTGTCGTAGGCGGACGGCCCCCTCACGAGGCGCCGCTGATCATGACGTCCGCCCAGCGCTGCGTGTCGTAGGCGGGCGCGTCGCCGCCCAGGTCGGCCGGCAGGATCCGTCGGCTCACGTGCTCGTACAGCGCCGCCAGGTTGTTGCCATGCATGTAGATCTGAGGCGTGGGGCGAGGGCGGATGGGGAGGGGCGCAGTCAACGGCCGCTCCGGGCGAGCGACGGGCCGGGGGAACGAGCGTTACGAGGAGCCTAGTGGTCAGAACCAACGTCACAACGCGCGATCGAAACCAGACGTCGCGCGGGTAGTGAACAGTTCGACGAGCTGTGTCTGCAGCGCCGTGACACGGTTGTTATCCGGTGCCACAAGTCCAACACACTCTAGGGATTTTCACGGGGCACTCGCGCTGATTGGCAGTGCTTGAGAGCGGACTGGTCCACTCTGCTACGGTCTGCGTGGTCTCACCTTTTCCTTGACCTTCTCCTTGAGGAACGGCCTGATGACCGACATCATGGCTTCGACGTACCACGGCTGGTTGATGAAGTGGATGCCGCCGAACCGGGCCGGGTAACAGTCCTGGAGACACGCTAATCGGTAATCGAGATCATCACAGCTGAAAGCCAAGCTCACCAGGCGGGACACTGAGACTACATACGGTGGCCAACGGCCGCGCACCGCATCAGCTGTAAGTACGTGGTGACACGAACACAGCTTTCAGCATAGCAACATATAGCACTTCAGATACATTAATCCGTAACGACAGATAACGAAAGCCACGATCACATACACTGTACAGCTTTGACATCGCTTTAAACATATAGCGGTTACCAGCCGGCATGAAAAAGACATCCAATTTGACCCACAGCTTCCTATAGTCAAGCCCTATAAGACAACGCAGTAATCCGTACAGTGTTGGCGATGCCCACAACGTCCATGCGTGATTTTGCATTTGTTCAGCAGAACATTCATAAAGCACAATAAAAGGCACGCATTTTCTGGCCGCATATGCATGGTTCAACCACTTCCGCATAGCACGGTCCTTCTTCAATTGTGCCGCAGATCACAGTCTCAATCATGTCCCAAACCCTTATCTGTTACAAGAGATTACTTTCGTCAACATCGTGACCCCAGATCATCGCCAGCTCACCTCGCCTCACCTCACCTCGCCTCGCCTCGCCTCGCCTCGCCTCGCCTCGCCTCGCCTCGCCTCGCCTCGTCCCATCTCACCTGTAAGCCGCTGACCATCAGCCGCACGGTGCGCGGGTTGACAAACTTGCTCTGGCGCAGCGAGAACTGGCTGAAGTCGAGCACCATGACGAAGCCGCTGATTTGGCTCTCCGGCTCCTCGATCAGCCGGTCCAGCGTCAGCAGGATCGCCCGGTAGATGGCAGACAGCGGGTACCTGCCAGCCAGCCGGAATATCTGACCACGTGCCGGGACAGCAGACGGCTCCGCATAGAAAATTCGTCGCGCCCTTCTCCATCCGGCAAGATGGCGGACACATGTCAGGTTGTAATACCTGGACATTCCCAGGCTTTCTGTTCAAGGGAGCTTTTAATCCCCTTCCAAAAACCGCGTTACGCTACGGTAGCCTAAAATCAGTATACATACTCGTTCTAAACCCTCACACTCGCCCCCTACGCAAACGCGTTTCAGGACTCGAAAAGAGGACGTGGTTGGGGAACTCCGGATAAATTTACCAGGACGCTGAATCACTCGCCTAGCTTCTAGATAAGAGGCTCTGAGCCATGGCAACTCTACGAGTTTGCGCGATTCAGGTGACAATTTTGCGAGTTAAATAATGTTAAAAACTCGCTGGTTATAAGCCCTCGATAATCCAAGGCTAGCCCGCATGGCTTCTGATCCATCTATATTTCGACGAACGCAAAGTCGGTCAACATGCACGAAGCAGCGCCAGCGACCATACAACAGAAGTGAGCTTGCAGCCTGTGCAGCTCTGAACTCGCAAGCAACTGCCCCGCGACTCACAGGACGGCACCGGTCTTGACGTGTCGCCACCCTGCGCCACACCAGCCCTGGAGTGTCGTCACCACACACCGCACCAGCTCTTGAGTGTCACTACCACACACCGTACCGGCCCTGAAGTGTCGCTACCACACACCGCATCAGCCCTGGAGTGTCGCTACCACATACCGCACCCGCCCTGGAGTGTCTTTACGCCTCGCACCACATTCGTTTGTCAACTCTCGGTCTTATCCAAACCCGATCCGGACCCATCCGCCCTGTCCTGGTCTTACCTTTCCCCCGCCCCCTCCCCCCTTGTCTTGACCCTGATTTTCGCCTCGATCCTGATAACTGTCCTCGCTATAATCCCCCTCTAAACACCTGGCCCCATCCTGCCCCCGACCAGTGCCCCGGGTACAACCCGTGACCCGGGTCCCGACCCGGGTCCCGACGACGTGACCCGGGTCCCGACGTGACCTCCATCCTGATCCAGCCGCCGCAGCTCTCCCCGCCGCCTCACCTCTCCGGCTCCCAGCTGGCGGCGAAAACGAGCAGCACGCGCCGGCCGCGGCCGTCCCGCTCGGCCAGCACGCCCGGGAAGCCGTCGCGCAGCGCCGCCCGCACCGGCGGACTGTGCGCGTTGTACGAGCCGAACAGCAGCGGGTTGTCGCGCCGGTACGCGTAGAAGCCGGTCAGCAGCTCGAACGCCTCCTGCACGCGGAACTTGCGCGCGCGCAGGAAGCGCAGCAGGCAGTCGTCCGACGTGTCCAGGTACACTGGGCGTCGGGCACAGAGGCGGCGTGGGCCGGGGCGCTGGCGCCGCGGCGACGGCGGGAGGCCGGGGTACTCCGGCTTGGGGATGCGGGGCGGACAGAGGCGACTCGGTGCCCTATTCACGACGCGGTAAGGCCGCGATCGAGGCGGGAGGGCCGCCAGCTGTGGAGACTGGTCACGGGACGCTGAGGTCAAGCCAGCAGCGGCTCTTATCGGTGCCCAGAGGCCGACGCCAGCACGGTTTGTATGCGTCGCGAGTGGAAGCGAGAGGCGGCACTTTCTACCAAGCAGATATGGTCTTTGAAAGCACACCTAAGGCACGGACCACTCTCCCCACATCAGCGTCACATGACGGTGGACAGTGGTGAGCAGCGCAGTCCCAGCATCGGCGGGGCTCCCCGGGCTCCCCGCCCGCCACCTACCGACGTGCGGCTGCGTCTCGGTCAGCGCGCGCAGTTGGCGCACAGCCTCCTCTTGTGGGCAGGGCCCCGGCGAGCTGGGCCGCTCCGCGTCGGCCGCCGGGTCAGTCTGGCGCCACAGGTCGTCGTACTCGGCGTATTCGGACATGGCGCCGGCTCCCGGCTCCGTGCAGCTACAGCTGGGCCAACAGTAGGCTGGTGGGAGACATCAGTGGATGACCAGCCCTGGGACCTGCATTGCAGGCAGCCTGTGAAGATGGCAGTCAGGCATCTTATGAACAGAGGATGCTGTGATGTTTTAAAGTCACAAAGAACTTTTGACCTCCTGCTTCTTGATGATACCAAATGTTGGCATTCACTGGAGTGGGCTGACTACAGCAATTTTCTGGCATGATTTTCCTCAGAAAAAGACAAAAGCCATAAGTAATGATGAGGATGATGATGATGATGATTGCAGGCTAAAGTTTAATACAATATGCATAGGTAATGCCTCTTTTACACTTTTTGTGCAATGATTATGATATAGCAGCACTGCTGTAGCTGGCAGTACCACATGCCAATCTTCCCAGTATTCATGCCACAGCCAACATTTTTGTAAAAATATTGCATGGTGCCACATCATCACCTCACTGGGAGAAGCAGCACAGCTTTTCAAGCATTCAGTGCAGCATAGTTTTATGATGAACCCAACCCTCTGTAGCACTGGTAATCAGCCAATGTATGGCTGCTTGAGTCTTCTGCATCAAAATATATGTAGCATAAAGTCCCACAAATTGCTATCACCACATAAGCTTCAGTAGAAATGTCAATGAGGCCATGTAAGATGGAAACCCTATCAAGGCATAAGCAAACAGGTGGTGTTTAACTGGAGCTTGGATCATGCCGCATTCAGAGCACTGGAAGTTCTGTTCAGCAGCTGGTCCTGGGATCATTTCCATGTTAGCATGAGCAGTAGATATAGCCATGTGAGTATGGCTCTCAAGTTTGCCTGTCCTGTCTGGCACAATAGAAATGAATACAGCTTTCTCTGTCCTTTCATTTTGAACTATGTATAAAGCTGTCAACCCAATAAACATGTGAATTCCTGAGACATGCACCAGTTTTACGATGACACCTCTAAAATTTGCTGCCAGAGGATGGGAGAGGAAGAAATAGGCATGTGATGACATGATTGTTCATGCTACAGCTGTAGTAGTGATATATCCTATTCCTGCAGACATTGATTTCCTGTAAAGCACCAAAAGACAGAGCCTTAGAGGCCAGCCACCAATAACAGCTCAGATTTTTACCATTTTTTGACAGTCCCCACCTGGCTGCTCACTAGTTAATGACTATGCTAGGTGAGAGCCCCTCCCCCCCCCCCCATTCACACATACAATTGGTCATGGTAGTAATGTACCTGTTAAAACAGCACTTTGGAATGACTTGCGACCATGCCTGCGTTTAGAATCACATAACACAGGCACTACCCTTTGTTCCCTCTCCTCCCTCCATGCGCAAGACCAGGCCAGTTCCGCAACGTGTCGTGACTTTCAAAGCTGGACCCAAACAACCTGGACCCTGCAGACAGCTGGAAAAGCTGGGACAGACGAAAATCAAAACTCACTGAAGAGCAGCTGCCTCACGTAGATCGCAACGCATTGTATGATGCACCCAGGTATATCTTAAATGGCATAAAATCCAGTGAAACACTGGTACGTGTACGGGGGGCGTGATCAATGCCCGCCCTATTACTCCGCCTTCTCATTGCCAATCTCAGGCGAAAGTAAACACCAATAACTGTCTCGTGTGCGCAATATCTGAATAGCATATGCTGCTTTCCGGATATGGCAGCACAAAATTACTATATGAGTCAGAGAAAAACAAGGTCGACCTGAATTTGGGGGTTGCTAGTAACGTGTACTTTGATTTTCGACGTGAGAACCTCTAAATGGAAACAAAGGTCTAAGACAAGAGGACAGATTCGTAGACCATGTAAATAAATTGTCACATAGCACGTCCGAACTACCCTAAGGATACCAAAGTTCTTGTTGATTAGCGTTACACCGTGTACCGCTGCTTTACCCGGTGCGGTATATACCCATTACCAATTATCTGAGTTCAAACAAGCGGCAAACCCTCCAAGATTGAGCTAGCACATTGAACGCAACGACGACCTTTATCGCTTTAGGCCCGTTTCCATCTCTATGACCACTCGGCCGAACCCGGTTCGGTCGTGCAAAGTTGATCGTTCGCCCAGCTTCGTGGCCGCGCTAGGATAAACAATCCGCCAGCTGACGCGGGCGCGGCTGCTCCCCTCGCCTGCGCAGCGGCCGGGAGGGACGCCGGGCCGTCCGACGTCGCTCCGCTCGGTGCCGCTCCGCGTGTCGGCCTCACCCGTGGCCAGCTTAGCCTGTAGCTCCGCTGCTAGTGAGGTGGTGCGGCGGCGTACTGGTGACGGGCATCTCAGCAGCGCGGCCATGCTCGCGTCGGACAGTGGCCGGTGGCTGCTGCTAGTCATCGTGGTGGTGCTCGTGCCACGCGGCACCGCCCGCTCCCACGTGGCGCTGGTGACCACGGACCAGGAGGCCGAGCCGCTGGTGCTGCAGCTGGCGCAGCTGCTGGCGGAGGACCACCACGTGACGGCGGTGCTCTACAACAGCAGCGGCGTTGGCCCGACCGGCGCGGTCCGCGTGGTCCGCGTACCGGCGGCCGCTTCCGACCCGGCCAGCCGCATCAGCTGGCTCGACCGCTGGGAGCGCTACCCCCTGCTGGCGCCGGACGCCGTCGTGGCGTCGCGCGTGGCTGGCTGCGGCGCGCTGCGAGCCTCGAGCCTGCTGGCCGACTTTCGGCCGGATCTCGTCATCAGCACCCTGTACCTGGACGACGCCTGCCTGCTCGGCCTCCTGCCGGACGCGCCGGTCATCGGCCTGCTGCCGTCGCCGGTCGGCCTGCCCTGGGTCACGTACCAGCTGGGAGGTCACTATCCCGTCAGCCGGATACCTGTGCACGGTTACCCGCTCGGCGACGCCGACTTCTACGCCCGGCTCGGCAACGGCTGGCGCTGGTGGACGCTGCTGCGGCGCGTACAGCGGCTGTACCAGACGCCCGTGGCCAGCGGCGCCGGCGGCCACCTCGACCTCGAGAAGGCGTACGACCGCGTGGCCGCCGTCTACGTCAGCGGCGACGCCCGGCTGCCCGCCGAAGTGCCGGCCGACAGGCGGATCCGCTTCCTCGGCTGCATCGAGTGCGCCAACTTTGCGCCGCTGCCTAAGGTGGGTGAGGGCACTGTGTTTTGTGGGATTTTTACGCCACCCCTTCTCCAGTCCGGTTTTTGCTTCCGAGCGTAAGGCTCGCATGCAGGCGTGTGACCGGAGCCCTCAAAAGATCCCAGGATCCCACTAGCACAAGTCCATATGGGATCCCGGATCCACACTTGGGATTCCGGCACATGTCTGCTCACATGTGTCGCAGTTGCCATTGACGTCACACGTCGTGCTCACTGCACTCCTCATGTAACACATGGCGACCAGTGTACCGAGTCAAGCCCACTGAAACCATTACGAGCGTGTTGCCTGGCGTCCGCCAGAAGCTGATGTCGACGATCGGCGGGGGCAGCCTGCTGGTGATCCGGCTGCATCACCCGCACGTCACGCTGCCGGCCGCCTTCAAAGTCGCGCTGGCTCAGGGAGCCGCTAGTTCGTCGCTGACGCCGATAGATGTCAGCAACGCCACCAGTGCCGACGCCGACCGGGTCATACACAGCGGGGTCCCGGCGGCCGACGCGCTCGGTGAGGTCACCGACGGCACTGGAGGAGGTCACCAGTGATGGGTACTCTCGGCGATGTTTTGAGGTGATGGGTACTAGATACTCTCGGTGAAGTCACCGCGGGGGAGCGTTAGTGTCAGGCTCTCTCAGTGACGTCCTGAGATGCGCTAGAGGTCGCTGAGGGGGAGAATCGGTGGCAGACGCTCTGTGAAGCCCCGCGTCGCACCGGATGCCCCTGTACTGAATGATCGGTGACGCTCGTACCCAGGTTCAGGAGCGGTACCGAGGTCCCATTCCATGACCTTCCGTCGCCTCTGAGCCGGCAGCTCCGCCGAGCTAACCCCTACACTGCCTCTGAGTCAGCAGCTCCGCTGAGCTAACCCCTACGCCGCCTCTGAGCCAGCAGCTTCGCTGAGCTAACCCCTACGCCGCCTATGAGCCGGTAGCTCCGCCGAGCTAGCCCCTATGCCGCCTCTGAGCCGACAGCTCCGCCGAGCTAACCCCTAGGCCGCCTCTGAGCCGGCAGCTCCGCCGGGCTAACCTCTACGCCGCCTCTCCGGCAGCCCACTCCCGGGCGCGCGTGTTCATCAGCGAGTGCTCGGCCTCGTCGGTGCTGCTGGCCGTCCACTTCAGCGTGCCGCTCGTCTGCATCCCCTTCACGACCGGACACAAGATGGCTGCCGCCAACGCCGTCTCGCTCGGTCAGTCCCAGGCGGTGGGAGGGGGAGGGAAACGCCAAGTGGAGTGCGCGACGGGATAGGCGATGTTTTTAAGCAGGCAGGTGCGCGTTATTCCGCCAGAACCCAGTTAGCGACATCACCATTGCAGCGTGCACAATGGCATGTTTTTTTTTCAAAGTTCGGACCGGTGTTTAAGTTGAGCCGATAGATGGCCATGTCGCGTAAAACCTCCAGAATAGAGGCAAAGGGTTGTTTGAGCATGCTGGATCCCTTTGAGTGTTGAACTACGGAGTTGGATCGTCCCTCAATTCCTCACAGCCGACCCTCTCCTCCAGGTCTCGGTGTGGAGGTGGATCTTCCCTCCCTCTCATACAGCCGACCGTCTCCTCCAGGTCTCGGTGTGGAGGTGGACCTCCCCTCCCTCTCGTACAGCCGACCCTCTCCTCCAGGTCTCGGTGTGGAGGTGGATCTTCCCTCCCTCTCGTACAGCCGACCCTCTCCTCCAGGTCTCGGTGTGGAGGTGGACCTCCCCTCCCTCTCGTACAGCCGACCCTCTCCTCCAGGTCTCGGTGTGGAGGTGGACCTCCCCTCCCTCTCGTACAGCCGACCCTCTCCTCCAGGTCTCGGTGTGGAGGTGGACCTCCCCTCCCTCTCGTACAGCCGACCCTCTCCTCCAGGCTTCGGTGTGGAGGTGGATCTTCCCTCCCTCTCGTACAGCCGACCCTCCCTCCAGGTTTCGGTGTGGAGGTGGATCTTCCCTCCCTCTCGTACAGCCGACCGTCTCCTCCAGGTCTCGGTGTGGAGGTGGATCTTCCCTCCCTCTCGTACAGCCGACCGTCTCCTCCAGGTCTCGGTGTGGAGGTGGATCTTCCCTCCCTCTCGTACAGTCGGCCCTCTCCGCCACGCCTCAGGGTGAAAGTGAACCGTCCCTCCCTCCTTCCCTCCCTTACAGCCGATCCTCTTCGCCGGCCTCGGTGTAGAGGTGGGCCGTCCCCTCCCCTCTCGCAGCCGACCTCCTCCGTCAGACCTCAGTGTGGAGGTGGACCGCCCCCCCCCCCCCCTCACAGCCGACCCTCTCCTCCAGGCCTCAGTGTGGAGGTGGGACCGTCGCTCCCTCCCTTCCTCGCAGCCGACCTTACCCGCCAGGCCTCGGTGTAGAGGTGGGCCGTCCCTCTCCCCCCCCCCCCCCCCCTCACAGCCGACCCTCTCCGCCAGGCCTGCGTGGAGGTGGACCGTCGCTCCCTCCCTCCCTCGCAGCCGACCCTCTCCGCCAGGCCTCAGCGTGGAGGTGGACCGCCCCCCCCCCCCCTCACAGCCGACCCTCTCCTCCAGGTCTCGGCGTAGAGGTGGACCGTCGCTCTCTAACGCCCGAGTCGCTGCGGGCCGCCATCACCCTCCGTGACGACCAGCGCCGGCCTGCGGCGCGCCGTTCGCGTGCGCGCGGACGCCCTGCGCCACGACGCCATCTCGCCGGCCGCCCAGTTCTCGCACGACGTGCACCACCTGCTGATGTTCGGCGGCCGGCCGCGGCGGCGCCGCCCACTCGGCCTCGTCGAGTACTACTGCCTGGACGTGGTCGGCACCTGTCTGGTCAGTGGCGGACTGGGCGCCGCGCTGCTGATGCTGCTCTTCGGCTGGCTCTTCCGCGTGCTCTCCGGCCGCCAGGGCCGCGATGTCAAAGCCAAGGTGGAGTAGGCCGGCCGGCGCAGGCGCGGCAGACGCCGCGGTGCCGCCCAATTGTCCGCAGCGCGACTCGAGTGTGTCTTACTTTATCTGTGCAGCCGCGTCAGCCCTGCTTGGCCGCCGCTGTTCCTCAAATACACTGCTATACAAATGGTTTATTAATGCACATACACCTGAATGACACGATAAATAATGGCAATAGGCAGCGCGGCGTGGTCTCACATATCACATGGCGCCGGCTGCGCGCGCGCGCGCGCCAGCGCGGCAGGTCCGCCTACCGCCGCCAGTACTGGGCGAACTTGTGCAGCTGTTCGACGAGAGCGGCCATCACGGCCGTCACCGACACGTCGATCATGTTCTGCATGTAGCCGACCGCCTCCTCGTCCGAGAGGTCGAGCCTGCAAACAGGTGAGAGGGGAGCGGTCAGGCGGCGGGGCGCGGCCAGCGGCGACGGACGGACGGCGCCTGTGTCACCGGACAGACACAGGCGCTGGCCGCCGCTGGGTCAACCAGCACTGCATAGGGCCGAGCAGGTGGTGATCCCAGCGATGGGAGTTCGTTGAAGTCATGAAACATCAGTAAAGGTGGTGGTTTAAACCCAGCGAGCGAGGGCGGGGGTGGATCCCGCCCCCTCAGAGGTTTTCGCTGGGTTCTCCGAAACGGTTTGGAGCGGCTGCAGGAATTTTAGGACATTTTCTAGACATCTTACTTACGTACTGAGGCAAACTGTCACATTCAAGGCAAGCGCAGGGAGCGATTTCACGCCCCGGCATTGGGAGGGAGCTCCAGTGCAATTGGGCATCATCCGAGATGTTAATTTGCCATGGATTACGCGTTTCATACATCGTGTTGCGTTTACGCGACTGACTGATGTTTACGACAAATAGGACGGTGCAAAATGAGTACAATGATTGCAAGATGGCAAAGGCAGCATGTCGGAGACGATTTCAGGGCACGCCATAGTGACGTTATAATGTGTATTAGGGGTCGCTAATGCCGATATATCATAAATGCATTCAGCACTCACCTAGATCTACCCCCAGACCTAGAAATCAGCAGTCATTGGTCCGCGTTGGTTACGTCGAGGCCAGTTGACGAACGTGGCAACTGTGTCAGATTAAAAATGCCTTCACATTTTGAGGTTTTCGAGACCCCGTTGCCTAGTTCGACTTGTGTACGTAGGCCGAAAAAAATGCATCCCCGTCGATTTTTCACAAGCCGCCCAGTAGTTCCGAAAGACCTAAGAGGGGTGAGGGGGGAGATCGAGGTCCCCCCTCCCCACCCAGATTAGTGTCCACAGGGACACCGTCCGAAGCAGAGCTAACCTCAGCTTATTCGCCACACGCATTAATTCTAACTAAGTGATCTCATTATTATTGGATCACAAACATCTCGAATCACAATGGGCAGCGTCATGCTGACGTTTTTGCCGCCGCATGACGTGCTGCCTGTCGCCGGGCCGGGCCCATGGAGCGGCGCTTCTGATTGGCTGGCCGCCTGCGCCGGCCGGCGACGCGCGGTCTGCCCGGCGGTCAGCGACACCTGAGGCGGTGGCCAGGCGGTGGCCAGCCGGCGGCCGCCGCCTCATGGTAACACCACGGTTCGCCACAGGTGGTGCGCCAATCAGGTCAGCCATGTGGTCTCGGCGTCATTAGCTGCGCTGAATAGGTCATGCATATGATCTGTAGCAGCTACACCACACCGGGGCCGGGTCGGTGAACGGGGGCTCGCAACAGCTGTGGTATGGGTGTTATACGACCGCGCAGGACGACGCTCCCGGAGGCATCGATACTTGATTAAGCGCTCTGGACGTCCGAAGGCTCTAATATACCGGAACTGAGGTGAGGTTGTGCAAGCAATAAACATATTGTGGACTTAATGGTCAGTTTTTTTTTATTTAAACGTAGGCATATGGCAATGAATAGCGGTCCAGTGAATTTCAGGACGAGGCCCCGATGTAGGTAATCCGAGAAACAATCGCAGGGGCCCAATATCAGCTGGGATATAATTGTGGCATTACACGCCGTTCTGCACCACTTCAGGCTGTGACGAACACGATTAATTATTACGAATATGTTTGATGTTCATCGAATGTAGCGCCATGGGTCGTAATCAACTTGAATACGCCCTAAGCAAAAGCAACGTTTTCACCCCAGCAGGGAACTCGCGGCCTCCGTCACCAGGCGGACGTCAGACCCATGTCCACCCTGGCACACCTCGAGCGGTCGTGTTCAACGGGCCAGGCCCGGCGGACAGTCGGTCGCGGGCCTCATCCGAGCTTGTCTCGGTCCAGACGCGGCCGGGGCCCACCCTGGCAATGTCCCCACCACGGGCGGGGCCTTCATCAGTCGCGGGCCTCACCCTGAGCTTGTCCCGGCCCAGACGCGGCCCGGGGCCCACCCTGGCAATGTCCCCACCACAGGCGGGTCCTCATCAGTCGCGGTCGCTGGCGAGCTCGCACCTGACTGGGCCTGCGCGGCCGGCGGGCTGACCTGACTGGGCCTGCGACGGCCGGCGGGCTGACCTGACCGGGCCTGCGCCGCCGGCGGGCTCTGACCTGAACGGGCCTGCGCCGCCGGCGGGCTCTGACCTGATTGGGCCTGCGCCGCCGGCGGGCTCTGACCTGACCGGGTCTGCGCCGCTGGCGGTCTCTCACCTGAACTGTCCTGCACCTTGCGCACCGTCTTGTCCGGCTCCAGGGCGATGTCGGGGATGTTGGCGTCCACCATCAGCGAGAACAGGTGCAGGATGACATCCGCGTGCCTGGCGGCGGCGCAGCGCGCGGTCAGCGCGAGCGGCGGCGGCGGCCAGCCGCGCGGCACGACGCGTGATGTCGGCGCACGGGCCCCAGCCGCGGCGGCTCGGACCGGCACTCAGGCGTTCGCGTGACCGAATATCACACCAGATCACGTGAGCACGGGAGCGCGGACATCTCGGTTCGAGACCAAGTTACTCGGCCACACCGGCGGCGGCCGCTGGACGTGACGGGTGCAGGGGACGCAGAGCCACGGCTCCAAGTCGGCGGGGACCGTCGCGTCGTTGGACACCACGGTTGCCGTGCGACAAGGCCGCCTCGAGCGTGGGCAAAGCTGGGCCCAACTCTGCAATCACCGAAACATGTGGGCCCGTTCAACAGCTGCAGACCTCTACCCCATTGGCTAATGATGATGACATTTCGTGCTCAGGGGCGAGTCGATTGCGTGACTATTCAGCGCGCCCCCGAGCCCCTCTATCAGCGTTCCCAGCGCGGGCCCGGCCGTCACCTCCTGAGGTGGAGGAAGGCGGTGTAGCACTGCTTGCGGAACGTCTGGTAGTGCTCCGAGTTGACACCGCCCATCGCCTCCACCATCTCCTTGCTGAGCTTCATGGGCGGCGGCAGCGGCTTGGGGTCGCGGCCCAGGATATAGCCGAAGTCAACGTGGAACAGGTTGCCGTCCTTGGTGAGCAGCAGGTTGTCCAGATGTCGGTCCCCGACGCCCAGCAGGTACGTGATGACGCAGTAGCCGGCTGGGGGAGGCGACACGGCGCGTCAGCGGGCGCGGCAGGGGCACAACGGGCCTGGCGCGTGGAACAGGCGAGGCACACAAGCCAGGCCAGCTGATGGATCTGTAGAGCTGAACCAGTCAATTTTTACGAGGCGTGCCTGACGGGGAAGTGTGTAGACCGGCGGCCTCTATGTACTCCATATGAGATGAGTTGAAACGCGCCACCGGTAAAAACGTCTGCACTGCGTGCAGTTGACACACCCTCACACTTCTGGCATCTGGCTACGTACGACACTTCGCACGACAACTAAGCCTCGCGCTCTAAGATCAACAAACACCCCAATACATCACCACCGACCCAGCGCGTCTGCAGAGGAACAAAAACTAAGTGGCATCTGGTGTCAGTGCTTGCACTGACCACCCTGTCACAGCCGCGCAAAGCTCCAGCTGGCCCGCTGCGGATTCTCCAGCGGTTCGCGCGGTGGCCGCCTGACACTGCCGCCCGGCGGTACGCACCGCAGCTGCGGATGTAGGTGTCCATGACGTCGGCGCTGACGCCGTACGGCCCCGCCTCCGACGGGTGGTGCTTGCGGAAGAAGTTGAGGATGCTGCCCTCGGTGCTGAGCACCTCGGCCACCGCCGAGGACTCTACGTACTGCACGAACCCTGCGGCGACCGCGGCGCCGGCGGTCAGCGGGTGACGTCAGACCACTGACGTCACACGTCAGCGGGTGACGTCTGACCGCCGACGTCACATGGCAGCGCACGGACAATCCGGCACTATGACAGTGAGCATTAATCTCCCACATGCTCCGTAACTGTACCGCAGCAATGCACTTGTAGAGGACTCCCGCCTGCTCCCACAAGATAGCTTTTTACAGGCAATGCGAAAATCTATCCGGTATCTATGATGCTGCCAGCTCAGGCCCTTGTGAGAGCAGTGACCAACGCGCTTCAGAAACAAAACAAAACAAAAAATACATCTGTGAATTCACCAGCGGCCAGAACTTCTGGTCGTTCCTTAATACGCCACCGTATAAATGCACTGCGGTCCATGCATAAGTTACACGGGCATCGTATGCTGACAATACCTGCGGCACCACCAACCCACGCCTCCCGGCCACAACCGACCACAGCGTGCCGCCACCCGTCTGCCTGAGTAGTCGCCCAGTCT